TCCTAGCATATCTACCTAGAGATTGGTCCAAGTGGAGTTTGGGAATGAAAGAAAGTGTTTACATTCCTTTGCCATTGCTCTTCTTTAGTCCAGCATCTTTCATGAAGTACAGCTGGTGTTCTAGTTAGGCTGGAAAGGAGAATATGCAACATGATTATATTCTATTTTTCATTGTTATGGGTGCCCTATGTGCAATTTCATGCTCCATATCTTAAGGATTCTCTATTGCCAGACAGAAAAGGGTTATGTTGTGAGTCAGATACTCAAAATGGTAAGGCTTTTTGTTGTTTTCACTAAAGCTAGAGGAGGAGCTGAGGAGCCTTCTAATCAAGGTGAAAGAAGAAAGTGCAAAAGCTGGGTTGCAGTTAAACATAAAAAAAACCCCAAGATTATGGCAACCGGACTGATTGATAACTGGCAAATAGAGGGAGAAAACGTGGAGGCAGTGACAGACTTTGTATTTCTAGGTGCAAAGATTACTGCAGACGCAGACTGCTGCCAGGAAATCAGAAGACGCTTACTTCTTGGGAGGAGAGCAATGACCAATCTCGATAAGATAGTGAAGAGTAGAGACATCACACTGGCAACAAAGATCTGCATAGTCAAAGCTATTGTATTCCTCATAGTCACCTACGGATGTGAGAGCTGGACCATAGGGAAGGCTGAGCGAAAGAAGATAGATCCTTTTGAACTGTGGTGTTGGAGGAAAGTTCTGAGAGTGCCTTGGACAGCGAGAAGATCCAACCAGTCCATACTTCGGTAAATAAAGCCCGACTGCTCATTGGAAGGAAGGATATTAGAGGCAAAGATGAAGTGCTTTGGCCACATCATGAGAAGACAGGAAAGCTTGGAGAAGACAATGATGCTGGGGAAAATGGAAGGAAAAAGGAAGAGGGGTCGACCAAGGGCAAGATGGATGGATGGTATCCTTGAAGTGACTGGCTTGACTCTGAAGGAGCTGGGGGTGGTGATGGCCAACCCACACTCTGGCGTGGGCTGGTTCATGAGGTCACAAAGAGTCGGAAGTGACTGAACAAATGAACAACAAACAAGCAAAGCTAGATTGGGACATTTGAGACAGACTTATTTGCAGTAGCTTTCTTCAGGAACAGTTGTATAAAGATAATTTATTTAGATCACAGTGCAGTAGACCTTCATCTCCAGCTGTGGATACCAAAATCCATGGATGCTCAAGTCCCATTATATAAAATGGTGTACCAAAATGGTGTCACTTTTATTATAGTTGAAAGGCACACCTTTTTCAGTAGATGCAGCTGTAGAATTTCTAGATGGAACTTCAAGGAAATGTTTATGTGAATAGAAGGGTAACGATTTCCAGCTAATGTAAAGAAATCCTATAACCAGGCACTGGTAGTGTCTGTAAGTTGCTAAAAAAGGAATAAATCCATATACATTCTGACAAAATTCCTATTCAATTGAACTTCTAAGCGCATACACATACTAATCTGGATCACTTATCCAAGGTTTGCCTGACCCATATTCCCAAAGGAGAAATAAAAATATTTCATAAATCAGAACAGCTTTGCATGAATACCGCTGCTTTGGGCAAAAGTGTTTCATAACTAAAACAGTTTGGCATGAATTATTATACATACAAATGCAAAGGGATCTTGTAGCACCTTAGAGACCAACTAACATAAAAAAGATGCATGGGAGAAATAGAATTACTCTACGAAACCTTATGCTACCAACCTCTTTCTCTCAGTCTCAAAGCTGCTACAAGATTGCTTTGCATACTGATATTCCAGACTTACATGGCTGTGTCTTTGAATTCTGTACATACAGATGTTTTATACAGTCCAAGCGTTTTGCCATATTTAGTATTCATCAGTGGATGGAAAGAGTAAACCACTCCTTTCAAGATGGCATAATAAAGAGGCTTCTACTATGCCAAAGCTGATTTTACACTATGAATTGCTGTATAGACCCATATAGTACAGTTTAGTGCAATTAAACTGCATTGAACGGGTCTACACTAACCATATAATACAGTTTCAAACTGAATTATATGGCAGTAAAGATCCACCTATAGTCTTTTTTCTGCTTGTAGATATTAAATTTTAAAATCTTAAATACACACACCTCTTTACAAATGTCTTTTTTTAAAAAACAAAAATCCTCATCAAACCATAAGGTTATATCCTTCAGAGAAACTTCCTACTTTTTAATGGCCAAAACTAAAAATAACCATTAAGATATATCATAAATATTGTAATTTTCTAAATGAGATAGAATGGTGTGTTAATATATGAATATGTGTGTATTTATGTATGTATTCAAATTTACCAGTGGAACACTTGCCTGGGAATCATATGGCACTCAAAATGCTTTTGGACTGTATATCTGATCAACCATAGGCAGCAAACCCAGTGGTGAAGAGGTTTCTGTCCAACAACATCTTGAAGTCAACATGATCATTTCCCCGCTGTATTCATTCAGAAATGACAGTACAAACTGAGATTGCCCTTGTTTGTGTCATAACCACAAAGCACAACATCTTTAAATTATACGCATCAATTAAGTCATTGACATCCCAAACAGTCTGCTAGTAAAAAATCTAACAAGGCCCATTAATCTCATATTATATAGATGGAAATCCTACCATTAAATATTAGTTGCTGATGGCAAACAGTGGTAGACAAGCATTCCTATCTTAAACAGCATGTCTGTAACAGCAGTAATAAAAGTCATGACAAAAAATGTTTTCACAGAGACAGAGAGATGAAAAGTCAAAATTAAAATGCAATTACTTCCATCATTGGCCATCTTGGCCATAGCTTTGGTAGAATCTCAGGCCCCTTCCACACTGCCCTATATATCCCAGGATCTGATCCTAGATTATCTGTTTATCCCAGATTATCTGGCAGTGTAAACTCTTATAATTCAGTTCAAAGCAGATAATCTAGGACCAGATCTTGGTATATAGGACAATGTAGAAGGGGCCTCAGACATCTAGGAAGCTACAGTTGTTTTCTACCCCCTCTATAATATCACCTATTTTGAAAGGCAATTCTCTTTCTCCACTTACTTCATCTTCTGGATTTGAAACACCCAAACATATAGCAACAAAGAATTTGGCCCCTCTGTCTCTCCAGCATATCACCTCAAAGACTGGAGGATCCTTGGCTCATTGTATTACTGGTTATTGGTTTTGTTGAGCATTGTTTTGATAGAGTTTCAACACTGCTGTTTTATATTCTTATGCTCTATTTAATTGTGTTTTATCTGGATTGTTATATTTTACTGTGCTCTTTTGTGTTCTTGCTTTAATGGATTGCTTTGCTTTTATGTCTTGTGGGCATTTTGTCCCATATGTAAGACACCCTGAGTCCCTTTGGAGAATAAAGTTGTCGTTGTCGTTGTTGTTGTTGTTGTCTGCTAAGTACAGCAAAGAAATGCCTAAGACAACACATGTGTTTCTGATTTTCAAGATAAACGTTAGTCGTGAGGTCTTTCCTGCAATTCGTTGAGATAGTTACATGATTAAAAATTGTAAACACTTGTATAGGAAGTTCCAATTCTCATCAGTTTTTCTCCCCCTTTCCTTTAAGTCACCTATGAAAATTATAAATAACTTGAGTTACAAAAGCTTCAAAACTGCCTATCACGGTGACTGTTCTGTCCTTTCAAGCAGTCTGGAGATAAATCAACATACAGCGAGAATTATTCTTTCCATTTTACTGTTGTTTAGTTTGCTCTTGTTCTGAAGGGTTTTCAGACCTTTAGCACTGTTGTTTTCAGATGGTTCTAAGGACTGAGTACTAAGAAAAAGACAAGATAAAATCAATCACAATGATAATTCAGAACGTTTATGTGCAGTGAGGGCTCTTTGCCTGCATACTTTAAATTCATAATTGAAAGAGAGCAATTGCTTTATCATTATGTTTTCATTGTTTTGAAAAGGTTACTGCAGTCACAAATATTACAACAGAGGCAAATGTATTGACATTATCAGCGATAGGAGCAAGCAACTCTGCAGTGAAATGACAAGCATTTGGTCCTATTGTTGCCTCTAAAGCTGTGCTGAGTCTGGAATACGAGGCAGTTAGAATAATTTCACACTTGAATGAGCTGGATTTTTACATCCAGAAATGTACGAGGCAGACCAAGCTTTATCACTGTTAAACTGAACAATTAAAATATGTATCTGTACACACACACACACACACCCACACACACACACACCCACACACCCCAGTATCTATTAATTCATTCTTAATAAACTCCCTCTTGCCCCTTTTTGCTTAAAATGACCCACACAATGTTTGGCATGGATCAAAGGGGAAAAGATTTGGTACTGTGTCAGTACATTAAACACAGCAAGAACTAATATTACACAGAGGTTTTAGTGTCATGACAATATGTTAAGATGGGTGTGTAATTTCATTCACACTGCTACAGTGATAGTAATTACAGATTTAAAAGATTGAGAGTGTTTCCTTTGGTTGGAAGCAATGGGAGCTCCATGTCAAACTAAGAAACACTCCATGAATCCCCAGGGATCCTTTGTAGAAATTCATAGTTCTGAATGATCTGTGTGTATGTTATTATATGCACTTCAAATCCCAGCAAGTGTGCCAATAGTCTCATAGTTAGTGTTGACTGCTAGCTGCTGCTCATCTCCTCAGCCCACATTCTCTTTTCTGACGTCCTTGGAATTGCCCGATTCCCAGTTCAAACCTCTTCTTCTATTTTTATCCTAGACATCTCATTTCTTTATGGGTATTTGTCACTGAATTTCTTTGGTGAATGTGTAGTGTTTTTCATATGTTTTGTTGACACAAAGTGATAACTTTTGCCTGAAATTCATAAATATCCACAGCATTCAAAACTAAGTTAATTTGGAAGATCTGGGAATAATTTTGGGACCAGTAGTTTACATGTCATTGTAGATGTAGGCTCATGGTGACCATTTGACAGGTTTTTAAAATCAGCTTACAACCAGGTTAATAAGATGTCCTGTTTAAATTTATTTGCAGGTGGCGATTTACATTTTACCTTTATATATTCACTTATGGATCCCGACTTTTGAAAAAGGTAAGATTCTTTGTTTTTTTCATGAATCCTAATTGCACTGGGTTTTGATTTAAACCAGCTTTTTTCATACTACTACTACTGCATACACACATTTCTGATTGTGCTGTTACAGTGTTTTTGGTACTTTTTGTAAGAGACTAAATTCGGAAGCTTTCAGTAAATGTTCCCATAGGTTTTATGGATATGGAATTGATGCTAATGTCTCTGGTGCTTTCAGTTAGCTACTTATTTCACCTTCCTAAATCTCTTCGTCAGTGATTGGATTTCCTGAAAGGACCCTTGACTTTTTAATGCAAGTATAGCATGCTCCCTTCTTCGTGGATTTTGATGATGATATTTGGCTTACGGAACTTCTGGGGGAGACTGAATGAAGTCTGCTCATCCAGTGGCCTGTTCACAGCATATCTCTGCATACCAGAAAGTTCTACAGAGGATCTGTGTGCCATCCTTATTTGCTGTATTTGGAAGTTGCTGCAATTCTGAATGGAGGGTTAGCAGGGGGTCTGTAGAGATTAGGAGAATAACTTCCAAAGAGGTGAACCAAGTATCATAACATGAAATGAAGATTTGTAGAAATGTAATGGCAACATCAAAGAGAAAGATATGGGTGATGCTCTTTCCTTCCCTCTCTCATTCTCTTAATGTGGGTAAATAAGAACACAGAATGCTCATTGGTTCATTTTTATAGCTGCTTTAGCTGCAGAACACGGATGAATGATTTTGTTAGCATTTTGTGATCAAGGGATTGACGCCAAATGTGGGGATTCTGCTACACATAATGACTTCATTGGCTTGAAATTTATACCCTCAGTACAACCCTCAAAATCATGAAATGAAGCTAAAACTCATAAGCCTCAGTCCAGTTGTTGGTCCCAGTTAGAGTAGATCCATTGAATCTATGGATTTTGCAGAAAGATTGATTTGCTAAATTCCCATAGATTGCATGATAATGAGATTTAGGCCATGGACTTTAGAACTGCACTAGGACAGTTCTTATGTCCTGTCAACAGCACATAAAGTAAGTTTCTGGTGATGCAAAAGTGAGATGAAGTGGTGTCCCTTATGGAATAGCGTAGGGCAGAATCAATGCACAGGAAGCAGTTTTGCACCATTTGGTGTACTTTCAGACAAAATCTGTCCTTAAAAATGCCTTGGTGTCTTTGGATTGTGGGAGCCAAAGAAGAGGGCTTGCGCTGTATGTAGCCCTTAAGGTATATTTTCCCTCTCCCAGTTTTGGAAAATCGCAATTAGTTGATTTCAGAAATAAGTCAACCAATTGTGATTTTCAAAATATTCACCACTGATTGCTCATCTTTGTTTTTTCTTCTAAAGCTTAGGAGTGCTTCCACTGTATTCCAACTCCAGTATTCTTGAAAACTTTCATTCTCAAGTCAATCCTATGACAAATAATGCTTTTTTTATACAAAGCTGTGGGTCCTTGCATATTAAACAAGAGGACTGTTTTCCAGTTGTTATCAGCAGTTGCTATATGATTATATATTAAATGTTTCCAAAATTCTTTGCCTGGTCATGTGTATAAGCTACATCATCAAAGGCAAGTGTGGCATTTCCTTTTCAAGAGCTATAGTCTTGTGTAGAGAACACAACAAAATGCATGTAGTTTGACTCTGAAAATCCCCGTTTCAGCTCTCCATATATAATTGACAGGTTAAATCACTTTTATTCAATTTATATCACCCTGTTTGCTCTAGCAGAATGCCTGTGACATGAGAAAGACTTGAACAGTAACATGTATTAGTCACATTGCCCATATTTTATTAACAGAAGCCACAACCTTGAGGAATGATTCCTAAACATGGTTTATTTAATGGCTTAGTAAACTTCTTGCGATATAGTATGAATTTATTCAGATTGTGCATATTCAAAGCTCAAGGCACAATTAAAGTGTAGGCTAATCTGTTTGCAGTATCAAGGTTTAGCCTCAGAGCATCTGGAGTAGTACTCATTGGCACCTCTGAGTCCTCTTCCCTCTTGGCACTGAATTAATCACAGACATCTGGATTGAGAGAAGTGGATTTCACAAATAGAAATGGTTGCTTCTCTCTGATTCCCTGTGTGCTAAAAATTAGCTGCTGCTGAGAGAATCTGAGGGTTTCATTTACATTTGCTGTGGGAAGCACAGAGCTGTCTTTGCAGTAAGAAGGAAAACAGGTACACATGTGCAACTGGGAAACTTGGACCAATCCGTTTCCCCAAATTTACACGGGTTAGCATTTAAAGGGGGATTTTTGTTCATATTATATGGTAAGGCTTTGTTTGCTATAGAAAGGTTTAGCCTATGTATTGCATGCTATAATATATACCTCAAAGGTTTTTATTTTTACAGTCATATTGCAGAAATTACATTTTCTATCAAGATCAAATACAATACGTTGGTATGATTGCTTCCCCTCCCTTCCCCCAAATCTACACATAGATATATACATAAATACATAAACTTCTGAACAATGCCTACAATAATTGTTCCCCATTAAACTATTATTCCCTCCCACCCCATCCCTCCCAGTACAGTGACCTCACGTCCTTTGGGTGGAAGACATTCATATACAGCCTTGCCCTTCCTTCCCAATAAAACATTCACCCATTCTTTCCTCTAGTACAGAAATCATCATCTGAAAATTACAAGCAAAAATCCTAACAAAGACCAAATTACAGAGTTTATTCAAAATGTTTTCCCTTTTTCCCAAAAAGTTCAAAGGTAATTCCCATTCCTTCACAAAGTTCTTCTCCATGTCCTCCCTATTCATCATAGCCAATTTATACACATTCCTCGTTCCATTACTATCTCCATAAAAATATGTCCTGCTGGCTGCCAAGTATTTTACTGCCATTTTACTCTGCTGCTGCTGTGTTATCCACATGTTGCCTTCAAGTTGCCTCCCCTTAAATAATTTCATAGAATTTTCTTAGGCAATTAATACTCAGAGGTGGTTTTGCCAGTTCCTTCCTCGCCAACAGTGCCCGGTATTAATCATTGTTGTCCTAATGAAGTATTAGCAGGGGCTTCGAAAAACAAATGGGATCTGATGCCAACAAGACAGAGACCTAAGTTTGCTTCAAAAGAGAGAGGGATTAGCCATGTTTGGATAGCTATATAGAGCTGGAGGTGAGAGAGATGAAAAGATTTGAAAAAATACACAACATTCAGGTAAGACAAAATGAGCAGACAAAAATCTCAAACCTATGCATGTGGAGCATTTTACCTTCTCAGGTTTCACCTAGTTCTCTATAAAAACTGAAGCTAAGAGTCAGCTCACTTAGAAGAATACTGTACTTAGAACATCAAATGGTGTACACAGGCAACATTGGGCATATCTATATTCATTGGATGTAATCATGTGTCTAGCACCTTCTACATACTAGAATTAGATGATGCCAGGTATACTTCATTGCTTTTTAATGTTCAATATATAGATTCTCTCTAGACTGGTAGGAAGTGGAAGACTCCATGAAATAATGAACAGACTTGAAGGGGGGTTGACTAGTAAGAGAGATTTTTGAATGATTTGCCTCCTTCATAGTTTGCATTTCTGCTTAATTTCTCTAACAGTATGAATGGTGGTTCTGTAAGTTATCTTCTACCCCATCTTCCTCTATTTGAATAATATCACCTTTTTTCACTGCAGTGTTTCACAGATTCCCACTGTCACATAGTAAGATACTACAGAATCTGAACTCAACATCTATCTGTTGACCTATGCATTTTGCAGCAATGTTATCCAGTCTCTGTGCCTTTTGAAAAGGATTGCAGTTGTTCTGTTTTCAGTGTCCCAAAATGGTCTCTGTATTTGTACCTTGAGGCACAAATTTCAGACACTGCAGTTTTGAATCCGTTCCTAATCATGCTCTTGGGGCAGGACTAATTCTAGGAAATTCATTCCCCCTGCCATTGCTTTCAAGGCTCATTTCCATTGTGCCCAAAGAGGCCATTTGAGAAATTAGCAAAAATGCTCATTACCATTGTGTGGTTAATAGCTTATTTTTATTTTGGTTCTTTTATCAGCAACTTGTATCCCGCAGAGCTGTTCACTCCCATTCAGTGGATTGCTTGGGGGCTTTCAGTGGTTGTTCTAAATACATTTTGGAGATTTACAAAATTAATAGATTATATGAAGTTTACACTAATGACAAACAAGTAAGCCTTGGATTTGGAGCAAAAATGTTTCTCCATTTCCTATTGCCTGCCTAGAATTCGTCAGTATAGAATTTGCAAGTGTAAGCACAATGGTGGGGGTTTTGTTTTGGTGGTAGATCTGTTGCACTAAGCAGTAGGGAAGAGAAAGAAATCAATTTTTAGAGTCCAGATTCTGTGGGACAGTGTGGAGGTTTATCAAGAGCAACAAGATAAAAGTTAAGTGTTCCTTCCTCCACCACACACACACATTCAAAAGGTGAGCTATAGATGCATCCATAGAAATGTGTATGTTCTTCAGCGCTGCACAAAATATTTGTTTCCTTGTGAGATTATCTTCCTGACAAATGCTGTAAGAAAGTGGAGCAAGTTGCTCGGGTTTCTCCTCCTTGCTGCTAGTTAACACTGGAAAGGGACCCCAGAACACTGGAAGCAGCCTGTCAGAATTGGAAGTTCAGAACATGCACTGATTTCCAGTGGTTGCTTCCTCCCATACCAACATAAAAGACACATGGAGGATTGAGGATTGCTTTAAAAGTTGAAGAGATGTTGTTCATGCTCTCTTTTTTTGCCTGTTATTTCACTCAACTGCTTTTGAAGCCACACTTTCTCCGCCGCAGGCGGAGGAAGGTCTTGGCAACCCTCCCCGAATAAGTTGTGCCATGAAAACCTGTGATAGGTTGCCTTAAGCCAAACATGATTCAAACGCACTTAACAGCAAAAAGTTAATCAGATTCCCTTTTGAGAAAGGACTGAAATAAAATGAAGCTCTATTATTTATTTCTAATCTTGGTTATTGTAGGTACCATGCAAATGTGTGCACCATGCAGATTACCTTAGAGGTCAT